AGACGCACCCGGCGGCGCCCGGGCCAGCCGACCTCCCGCGGTGTCAGGGCTGCGCCACCCTGCAGCCGGTACGATAACTCCTGGGCTTTTGCGCTACCTGGGCTTTGTTTCGTCACGGAGTCCAGAATTGATTCACCAGGTGCGATGCTAGTGATGGCAGACGAGAGCGAGCGCGCTCTGCAGGGCTCCCTCCTCCCCTGCCCCGATGCAGGCAGGGTTTGCAGGCCGAGTTGGGTTGGTGGATGACTCTGAAGTGTAGAGGGTATCTTCCTCTCTGGGGTGAAGGCCTTCTCACGCCCCAGATTATCTGTTGCTTGGAGGCAAAGGTTTTTTTATGTTTTTGTGTCTCGTGTCCGGGTCACTAGACGTCAAGATTCGGGAGCTGCTTTTCAGCCTACGCCTGCCTTTTGATGCACCGTCAAGCGTGGCTTTTGCTAAGTAACGTGCGACTGGTCTGATTAGAATAATTCCATTAAGATGTGTACGTCTCGGTCGTTTGCTACGGTGGCATGCGCTGTTCTCGACGATGAATCGCTGCAGATGTGGTGGGGTTTACTGATGTCGTGGAAATAGTCCCAGCTCACCTCCTTCACCTTGTCCCATCCACCTCATCTCCTTTCGGCCTCGGGTTGTAGGCACTATTCACATTCTGTTGAACCAGGTGGACAGGAGTAAGATGAACGGGTGCCTTTACCACTGAGCAGGATTTTAGATGTTGGGAAGAAAATCATGGACGATGTCAGGGTGTCCGAGTGAGGTATTTGGGAGGCAGTAGCTAATGTGAATGTTGAGAAGCAGCCGTGGATACCGGTTTTAACAGCTGGGACGGTTTCTGTGATGAGAAAGAGCTGTGCATGCTTGATGTTTGATGAGCAAAGCCTGCGGAAGCCTCATGGCTGGTAAGACGAGATCAGAAGGGCTGCAGACTCGGTAGCCATCCATAGAAGCTTGACGTTATTGAAAATGCAGTGTCTGCGTTGATTTGTGTATTCTAGTTGTTTTGAGAATAGGCGATGGGGAATAAATAAAATGAAGAGTCAAGCCTTACTGTAGCTAGGCCACATTGTGTGGGTATGTTATAACCCTCTGATCCCATCTGAATGGCATCCTTCTTCATCTTTAATAGACCATATTTGGTTGTTTTTTTGTTTTTTTTTTTGAACCTGTTCATTCATTCAAAGAATTTTTTGTTATCTCCTTCTGTTTTATAGCAAGGTCAAAAGAAGATGAAAATTATATTAGATGTAATGTATTGGTGACAAGTAGAGTCAAAAATAGGAAAGAAGAGTAGGTAAGGACTAGGATGGTGGTTGCTGAGATTTTGTGGTCTCTGGGAAGATCATCTGTGAGCAAAGTAGTGAGAGAATGAGTTGTTAATTTCTTTGGAGACAAACATCCTAGTGGATGCCTCAAGGCCTGAAGTAGTTGCTTTCCCAGTGTGCTTGGGAAGAGTAAATGTGGGAGTTTGAATGTTTTTGGCCCTATAAGCCCATGGGGAGTGACCCTATTAGGAGGTGTGGTATTGTTGGAGGAGGTGTGACCTTGTTGAAGGAGGCTGGATGACACATGCCTTTAATCCAGATTTTGAGGCTGGAGGGCACACCTTTAATCTGGGCCACACCTCCTGTTGGAAGTATGCAACTGTGAGGTAGGCTTAGAGGCTTCATATACTCAGGATTCTGCCCAGTGTGCCACTTGATTTCTTGTTGCCTGTAAGATATACAGTCTCAGCTCCAGCACTATCTTTGACTGCATTCTGTCATGCTCCCTGCCATGCCAAACTTCTGAAACCAAGCAAGCCAAGTCAATTAAATGTTTTCTTTATCAGAGCTGCTGTGGTCATGGTGTCTCTTCACAGCAATAGAAATCATAACGAAGACAGCAAGAAAGCCATTGAGCCTGAGGGTTGGGGGTTTACAGAGGTCAGAAGAGCAAGAAGAGCCCTGGTCACACACCATAGTATGGGCTTGGGCTTCTCAGAGTCACTGGCGGTATTTGCATGGAACAGCTAGCTGTGTTCCTCTGCCCTCCTGAGAGCTGCCTCCCAAACACTGCCCACGAGGAGTCTCTGTCCTGTTGAATCAGCAGAGGCGTTGAGTCCTTTAGATTGCTTGAGACCGTCCTTGTACCTGCCGCCTCTGGAAGCTTGCATCAGCCTCTGACAGCCTGCATCCGTTTACTGCTTCTCTTGACCCCACCATCCTTAATCTTTTCTGTAGAAAGCATTCTAACCTATGCCCTAGAAGCTACTGCTTTCACTTCCCAAGGGAACCCTTTTCCCTTCCCTCCAAGACACACTTCCACTGTTGGTTCCCATAACAGCAGCAAGAGGAGGGGTTCCTTTAGATCTTCATAGGCTTGGTCTGCAAACTTTTTTCTGTAAGGGGCAAGATCATAAATCACTGGGCTTTGGGGATTCCTTCACACCTGCTCAGTTGCCATTGAGGTGTGAAAGCAGCCATAGACTCAAGAGTAAAAGAATCCCATGACTATGCTGCCAACAGCAGGAAGTTAGCTTGTGAAAAGGCCTTTCAAGGCAGTAGTGTTCCAGAGAGGCTGTGAGTCTCTGGAACATTTCTTTAATTTGCAAAGTGTGCCTGGGAAGATAGGTCTCTAGTGAAGTAGACAGCAAGGCTCTGTGCTTATTTCCTGTATATCGAGAGAGGGAAGCTTTTGTCTATTAACACCACCCAAGCAAAATGTGCAGTACAGGATGGAAGTGTGTAGTACAGGTGGAAGGCACAGGAAGCTGAGTTTGGCTGAGGGTAATTCGTCTCACTAATGTGGCCTTGTGAGAGCATTACATCATGGGAGCTCATGGGAATGATAACAGGAAAAGCATGCAAGTGTGAGCAGCAAGACAGGTCCTCCTGTGGGGAAGGGGAAGGTACTACGATTTCAGTCAATGAATAACTTTGTGAACTGTGATGGAAGAAGAAAGGAAACTAGTTAAGGCAGAAAGGCTGTTGGAAAGTCTGGGGCTGGAGTTTTAAAATGTCATTGGAGTAGGGAGTGTTAGCCACTTCCAGATATTTGTGAAGTATCTCTGAAATATACTGATGCATTTCCAAGGAAGTGGAAGCTGGTTTCTATGTTTCTATGGGTGCTGAGTTCATAGGAAGAATCTTTTTCAGGGGGAGGGGGGCGGGATAGGTGGTTCTATGAGACTCTTAATCTTTGAAGACCACTGCCATCTGAAGAGGATCTAGGACTGGGGCTGGGCCCTTGAAGAAGAAAGCATGGAATGGAGAGGGGTGGAGGAGATAAGGAGACTTAAACAGGAAGTGGATCACTGGCCTGTTGGGAGGAGAAAGAGGACTGGACATTGCCACAGCAAATGCCTGCTCCATGCAGCTTAAACTTAGAGGAGCCTTATCGTTTCAAAACATTGATACTTGTGGATTTTCTGGAAGATGTCCACACAGTCTTTCTTGCAGTGGCACCAACTGCAGTGCTGGGCCTTCTTTCTGACTGGGAGCCTTAACAGGCCCTTGTTCTGAACGAATAGTCTCTTGCTTGCAGAATATCTTCCTGTATGTCTGGCCCTGTGTTTCCTTTAGAATGGAAGATACAGTTGCCTTTTTACCTGCTCACTCAGGGATGTACCTGCAGGCACCTGTGCTTCTTAAGTATCTGGTGATAGCTTCAAAGAGCACTCTTGACCTTTGATTGTGGTAGTTTGTTATTGATGTGTAGCCCGACATCCACTTGTTGTAGGACTTCAGCAGTCACAAAAAACAGCTAAATCTGATGATACTATGTGTCGGTTGTTGGAGTTGGTCTGCTTATAAAGGCTGCAGGTACTCCTCTGAACAGGAAACTGGTCAGAAATATTTCATTTCCAGCATCCTCCACATGTGGGAGCCTCAGGAGCGGAAAGTATGAAAGTGAATGAATGAATGCTGAGAGTACTGTCAGGAAACCTGAAGCTAGCACCCCGCCCCCATTTGCAGGGAGCAGTGGATCCCGCTGGCACACAGGTGTGTGGGTCACAAGGACCTCCACCCACCATGCACTACTGATCTCACCATTAAGAGAGTTCGTTTCCAAACAATGTAAACAAACCTGGATCGCAGAAGCCGAGAACAGTGTCCAATTAGGAGCAGTATAAGCTGGTGGTGATACTGGGATGTCTGACCCTTCACACTGGCATGCACACAGGCCTTGGGAGAAGTGCAGAAGGGGCTGTGCTAACCCCCAACCATAAGTTTGTTTTGTTTCTACTTCGTAACTGTAATTTTGCTACTGTTACAAATTGTAATGTGAATAACTGTTTTCTGGTGGTCTTAGGTGACTTATGTGAAAGGATTGTTTGACCTCCAGGTTGAGAATCACTGCTGTAGGGATGTTATGTTTTGTGGTTTTAATGTGGTCCCCCCCATTTGTTTTCTCTAACCTAGAGTTATATGTGGTCAAAGTTGAGAGAGAAAACTGAATATAATATTCTATTAAGACAACCTGCAGCACTGCCGGTATCTTTTTTTGCAAAAAAACACCATTTTAATTGCTTACATGATGTAATTTTCATAATGAAGCTTCTTGTCTTTTTAGTAAATTAGTTGGTTTCTTTAGTTGAAGACAGTGTAGATTCCTAATCTTGGAAGTTGAAGGTGGTGCACTAATGCGGCCCCTGTCTCTCCACAATCCCTGCCTATCCTCTTACTGTGCAGGACTTCAGATAGTGTTGTTGAGATGGTGGCCACATGTCAATTCAGGTTAAATAGGTTAATTCAGACCACAGGTTAAGTATACTCTAATGTACATTACTACTTTTGCATTCCTTCATGGTTTCTTGTTTGCCCTAATTCATATATATTTTAAAAGACAGTATAGCGTGGCTAGGCTAGGCTGCTCTGGAACTCACTGTGGAGCTGAGTTACGGGATTACAGCCATACATCACCATGCCCTGCTTAGTAATTGGACTTCAGTTTTAGTTTTTCTTGTTGTTTTGGCTCATGGTTTCGGTGGATACAGTCCATGGGCAATACGTGGCAACAGTAGTATGAGACCTGTGCTGTCTCTGCGCCAGCAGTGAGGAAGCTAGGAGTGAGTGCGAGTTCTCAGCCT